ACTGGTGCCTGGGGTTGTTCTTCCCTGGGTGTAGGACCCTACACTTGCCCCTGTTGAACTTCACGTGGTTCCTCTCCACCCAGTTCTCAACTCACCTCACTGTCCACTCAAGTAGCGTGGCTGGTTCTCACAGATCTGCGTTACCTTGGCAAAGCAGAACAGGCAGATACGGACACAGTGTGAGGTTTAGAAACTGTTTGTTTGAAAACCACTCTGGTCTCGTTATTTAAAATACCGTACAGGCTGTGCCTCCGCTCGGGCGGTGCCTGGCTAATCCTTTGCAGTAGCTGCGAGCAGAATACGTGCTGTCAAGGGACCACGTGGGAGAACGATGCCGCCATGGTGGCCGCTCGCCGAGCTGTTTTTATCCCCTGGCAAAGCAAATTTTTCTATTTCTTTATAGCTACCCAGAGCAGTAGGCACCCAGACCTTGAGTGGGGCAGGAATACTGAAGATGTTCAACAAAGCTACGGATGCTGTCAGTAAAATGACCATCAAGATGAACGAATCGGACATAGTAAGTATTTGGATGCCTCTGGGTTGTCCTCGTCCTCGCTCTGGAGCTGCGTGCTCTCCCCGGCTCAAGCTTTGGTTGCAAGATGCAAGGAAAGCTCCGCAGCCCCGCAGCGACGCCGTCTGCGGGAATCAGCTCTGGCTTTACCCGTTTCAGTGGTTCGAGGAGAAGCTGCAGGAGGTGGAGTGCGAGGACCAGCGGCTACGGAAGTTACACGCTGTCGTCGAAACGCTAGTGAACCACAGGAAAGGTAACAAGCTTGGTGCCGCTCGCTCTGTAGCTTGGCCCGTAACCGTTAAACCTTGCGCGGTGCCTGACTGGAGGTTGCCGGTTGTCCTAGGAGGCACCTCGGAGAAGATATGGCAGTGCTTCCTTACTGTAAAGGACTTTTGGTCTCTTCATCATGGGAGACAGAAGTAAAACAGTTAATGCCACCTCTTCCGTCCAGCCCTATGAGCTTAGGATGACGGTGTTGAAGCGAACCGCTGGCCTGCTGGATGAAGGCTGCCGTAGCAAACCTGAGCTGATCTTATTACTAATTCCAGGCTGTCTTCTGGCGGGGAGCGGGGATGTTTTTCTTCTTCTGCATGTTTTGGCTGACTTCTGCAAACCTGTGCCTGTCCTCTTACTCCGCTGCTTCCCTTCTCTTCCCTGGCCGGAGTTGCCTAGCCTTCCTCCTGCCGCGCTGCAGGAGCTGCCAGCTCTGACCGAGACGGTGCTGGTTCTTCCAGCTGACGTCTCCTGGGGCTGCAAAAAAAAAAAAGCAGCTCCTTGGGCTGAACTCTAGGCTGGGGCTTTACTTGCAGAGCACCCACTGTAGCAAGACCCATCGGTTGACTTTCTTATTCCGTTCACTAGAACTAGCGTTGAATACAGCCCAGTTTGCAAAGAGTCTGGCCATGCTGGGAAGCTCGGAGGACAACACGGCCCTGTCCCGGGCGCTGTCGCAGCTGGCTGAGGTGGAAGAGAAGATTGAACAGCTGCACCAGGAACAGGCTAACAATGACTTCTTCCTCCTGGCCGAGCTCCTGGGAGACTACATCCGCCTCTTCTCGGTTGTAAGGGTAAGCACCCCTTTGGGGCAAGCTCTAAGTTGTGCTGCTGGTCCTAATACTGATCTTAGGCTTAGGTGTGCCAGGAGGCAGCTGGTCTTCTAAATTCAAGCACGGGGCACGGCATTCATCCGAG